GAGTGCTGTGCTGCCCTCTGCGCGGGGAGCCACGCTCAGCAGGCGGTGCACGGTGCTGAAATTCTTTGAGATACGCAGCCTGGCCTGTGGAGACAGTGCCGCGGAGCCTGTCGCACGACAAGTGTGCCGAGGAGGCCGGTGCAGGATGGCCACCGGCCTGCCATCCGATGGCGACGAAGCGGCAGGCCTTCTCCTGGCCATCGCTCGGACGCCCATTCCATTTTTTTTTTTTTTTGTTCCGGTTTCGTGCGTGGCTTCTTCGCCAAAGGATCAAGGATGTTCCTCGATGGTCCTCGCCGCGGAAAAATGCACACGTCCGAGCGAGACCTCTGAGTTAGCCGACTCACGCTGTGCCTGTCCCACGAGAGCGGCTGTGACCTGACGATGAGCACGCTGCTTCGCAACAGCATCCTGCAGCCGCTTCCATCGTCTGACCCTGAGCTCGGAGAGGAGGAGGGGGAGGAGGAGGAGGAGGAGGAGGAGGAGGAGGAGGAGGAGGGGGAGGAGGGGGGAATGAGGGGGGAGGGGCGAGGGGTGGGCAGGTGGGGGAGGGGGGGGGAAAGGAGGGAGAGGCCGAGAGAAGGTCGAGCGATGCCAAGTCTCCTGCGCGGCACGGGTTTTTTGGGGCGCCGGAGCGGGCGGCGGGGGAGGACTCACGTCGCCGCGCCCCCACCGTGGCCCGTAGGCGGAGCTCCCCCGCTGGGGGGTGAGGCGTGAGAGGCGAGGGAGGAGGAAGGGGGCGAGGAAGAGAAGGGTGAGAAGGGGGGAGAGGAGAGGAGGGGGGAGGAGGGGGAGGAGGAGGAGGAAGAGGAGGAGGAGGAGGAGGAGGAGGTGGAGGAGGAGGAGGAGGAGCAGCAGGAGGAAGAGAGGAGGAGGAGGCGGAGGAGGAGGAGGAGGAAAGGAGGAGGGGGAGGAGGAGGAGGCGGAGAAGTGAGAGGGGCCTAGGCGCGGCGCTGCATAGTCAAAGCGAGGGCCCAATTCCATAGGAGGGTCGGGAAAGACCAGAAGGAGGAAGAACGGTAAAATCAGAGGGAGAGAAGGGGGAGGCAGAAAGGAAGAATGGAGGTGGGGCGCAGCGCTGCGTATCCAAAGCGAGGGCCAAACTCCACAGGAGGATGGATACGCGAATGGATGGCCGATCCTTTCATCATGTGGTTACTGTTCGAAACTCCCTCAAACGGTATTGTCACGGACATGGAGCTTGAGATCTCCAGCGCCAGCGGAGACGGAGGGCGGCTCTTTTTCTAGATCGAACTCTCGCCGAAGAACATATTCTCGTAGAGCTTACGTGCTCTCAGCGGTTTCGAGGATGGAGGACGGCTTCTTCTTATGATCGCGTTGTTGTTGTTTTGCTGTTTTTGTTTCTCTCCCTCTCTCTCTCTCTCTCTCCCAGTAGGCGCTGCGCACGTGTCTTGAAGCCTCTGGCAGATGCACCGATGGGGGGACCAACCCAACCCCTCTTTGACGCACTTTGTCTTGTGACGCTGCGTGGCGAGATCCCAATGACCGCTGACGCAAGCTTCACAACACCTGGGGCTTTCGCCGTGCATCTCCAAGGGTCCCTCACCACTCTGGCGTGTGCTCGCCGCAATGACACATGCTGCTCGCGTTGACATCATGAGGCAGGTGCTTGGGACGGGAAGGCGCATTGCGGTGTAGTGTGCGGTGTTTGCGCCGCCTTCACGGACTGCAATCTTGCAACATGGCATCGCAATGAAGCCGATTGTCTTGCCCGCTTTCGGGCTCGACCTCGGTAGCCGCAGACGAAGCTCTTCAGCGCGTCGGAGGCAAAATTGTGTACCGGGCACAGTTCCTACGCCTTCAGCCTCAGTGACGGCATTACCTCAAACTTCGTAGCAACGTCGTATGCGCCCCTCCCTATTGGACTCCACTGGGCCGCCTGCATTAGAATTCAAGTGTGTGCACTGTGTGTGCGTGAGTGCTGGGGCTCTCTGCCCAGCTTGGCACTGCACGAGGGTCGCCTCTCTTCTGCCGAGGCCTCAGCTGTGCAGCGTCCCCGGCTGGGGGCTCTCTCGACCTCGGCCCGGCCACTGCCCGCCTTGTTGCTGCCCTCTTGACTGACCTCTCTGGCCATGCGCCGTCTTTGTGCCTCGCGGAGTTCGCGACAGCTGGCGCCCCATGCTATCACTCGCTGCGGTGATGCGTGACGGTCGGCGGAGGAACAAAGTGTGTGCTGGGCTTCTCTGGTGCTCCTCCTCCTGCTCGTCCCCCTTCTCCTCCTCCTCCTCCCCCTTTCCTCCTTCTCATCCTCCCCCGGCTTCTCCTCCTGTGTTTTTTTTCGGTTGTTCTCTCTCTCTCTCTCTATCTCGAAAGACTCATCAAACAAGTTCTTTAACGAAGCTAGCAGGGTCTGCACCAGAGCCTGTGGGGATGTCTGTTGCCGACGTTTCACTTCCAGGGGATCCAGAAGTCTGCGGGCTGGTATCCCCCAACTTGCTCCCCAAAGAAAGTCGGGGCGAGACACAAGCGAGGGGAAAGGAGAAAGGGAAGGAGGGAGGAAGTGATGAGAGACGGAACCACAATGGCGTCATTACGCATGGCCTCGGACTGCGCTACTTCGACCTCCTCCTGCTCCTCGTGTCGCCGGCGCTGTCGGCCTCGGAGCTCGATTCGAACGCGGCCACCCTGCTCCTCCTCCTCCTCCTCCTCCTCCTCCTCCTCCTCCTCCTCCTCCTCCCCCCTCATCCTCCTCCTCCTCCTCATCATCCTCCCCCCTTCCTCCCTCTCATCCTCATCCTCCTCCTCTCCTCCTCCTCCTTCCTCCCTCCTCCTACTCCCCCCCCTCCTCCTCCTCCTCCTCCTCCTCCTCCTCCTCCTCCTCCTACTCCTCCTCCCCTCCTCCTCCTCCCCTCCCCTATCCTCCTCTCCTCCTCCTCCTCCCCTCCTCCTCCTCCTCCTCCTCCTCCTCCTCCTCCTCCCCGTGCCGAAGGTTCCCGCAGCTTGTGGGGTTCGTGCTTGTGAGGGACGCACGGGGCGCTGGTAAGATAGTGCGATTTTTGCACTTTCGATGAGCACCCTCACGAGCACCCCGCAGGTTAGGGAACCGGGGCGACACCAGCAATCCATCTTTCTGGCTGTCGGTGGGTGTGCCTTCCACCTGGTCTGCCCGCGGGCAGCGAGTTGCATTCCCATTCGTTTATGGCTGTCGGTGGGGTGCCATCCACCTTGTCAAAGGCCCCTTAAAGGGGGCGGAGGGGGATGTGGGACCCAGGCCCCGTCGCGTCGTTGTCCATGGCTGTCGGTGGGTGGGCCTTCCACCGTTCTGGACCCGGGAGGGACTCCACGCGTGGGGCGCCCGGGGCGGTGCTCGGGGAGGTGCCCAAGGGTGCACCCACTGTGGTGCCCAAGGTGGTGCACAGGCCCATTGGGGGGGACCCTAGGTGGCGCCCGAGGTACCCAGGGAGGTACCCGAGGTGCCCGTTGGTTTCATGCACATGCTTATTGGGCGGAGTACCCGTGGCACCCATGGAGGCACCCGAGGTACCCAGGGAGGTACCCGAGGTGCCCAAATTGACGCCATGCACATGCTTATAGGGAGGGGTACCCGAGGGACCCAAGGAGGTACCCGAGGTACCCAGGGAGGTACCCGAGGTGCCCAATGGCTGTCATGCACATGCTTAGTTGTCATGCACATGCTTATTGGGAGTGGTACCCGAGGTACCCAAGGAGGCACCCGAGGTACCCAGGGAGGTACCCGAGGTGCCCAAGTGTTGTCATGCACATGCTTATTGGGAGGGGTACCCGAGGGACCCAATACCCAAGGTGCTCAATAGTTGTCATGCACATGCTTATTGGGAGTGGTACCCGAGGTACCCAAGGAGGCACCCGAGGTACCCAGGGAGGTACCCGAGGTGCCCAATTGTTGTCATGCACATGCTTATTGGGAGGGGTACCCGAGGGACCCAAGGAGGCACCCGAGGTACCCAGGAAGGTACCCGAGGTGCCCAATGGCTGCCATGCACATGCTTAGTTGTCATGCGCATGCTTATTGGGAGTGGTACCCGAGGTACCCAAGGAGGCACCCGAGGTGCCCAGGGAGGTACCCGAGGTGCCTAAGCGTTGTCATGCACATGCTTATTGGGAGGGGTACCCGAGGGACCCAATACCCAAGGTGCTGAATAGTTGTCATGCACATGCTAATTGGGAGTGGTACCCGAGGTACCCAAGGAGGCACCCGAGGTACCCAGAGAGGTACCCGAGGTGCCCAAGCGTTGTCATGCACATGCTTATTGGGAGGGGTACCCGAGGGACCCAATACCCAAGGTGCTCAATAGTTGTCATGCACATGTTTTTTGGGAGTGGTACCCGAGGTAGCCAAGGAGGCACCCGATGCACCCAGGGAGGTACCCGAGGTGCCCAAGTGTTGTCATGCACATGCTTATTGGGAGGGGCACCCGAGGGACCCAATACCCAAGGTGCTCAATAGGTGTCATGCACATGCTTATTGGGAGTGGTACCCGAGGTACCCAAGGAGGCACCCGAGGTACCCAGGGAGGTACCCGAGGTGCCCAATTGTTGTCATGCACATGCTTATTGGGAGGGGTACCCGAGGGACCCAATACCCAAGGTGCTCAATAGTTGTCATGCACATGCTTATTGGGAGTGGTACCCGAGGTACCCAAGGAGGCACCCGAGGTAACCAGGGAGGTACCGAGATGCCCAAAATTGTTGTCGGCTGCCGGCGACCGGCGACCGGGCGACCGGTCTGGCCGGCGACCAGCGTTCGGCGCCCGGCGACGGCCGGCCCCATGCGGGAACCGGCTTCCTCCTCCTCCTCTCCTTTCGGGTCGTCCGCGGCCTGTCGGCCGGCTTCGGCGCATGCACGCTAACCTTACCCTACCCTCCCCCCCTCCCCTCCTCCTCCTCCTCCTCCTCCTTCTCCTCCTCCTCCTCCTCCTCTTCCTCCTCCTCCTCCTCCTCCTCTTCCTCTTCCACCCCTTCCCTCTCTCACTGGCCCTCCCGAGCCCTGCGCAAATGTTTTCTACCAATCGCAACCCACGGCACTATTCCATACCGAGAGCACCACATCGGACGAGATCGGCCGATTGGGCTGACGCTGTTGCGCACTGAAGAAAAACTGTAGAAAAGCTGTGAGCACGTAAAGGCCCACTAGATGAGAAGGCCCACTATCACAAGACCTAACAAACGCGTCGCAGCGGACGACTGTGGTCGCACAAGCGGTGCAGAGGCGTTGGTGAGGGGGTGGGGAAGGCAGGATCGAGGGAAAACGGGGAGACGTGAAAGCTCGAGGGGTAAGAGGCAGAAAGGGAAAAAGGAACGGAAAGGGAGGACGGACAGGAAGAGCATAATCAAGGGGGGGTAAGAGGATATGGATCGATTGCCCCCCCCCACCCTCGGGAGCGGCTTCTCCGAACATGCGCCTCCCAATCACAATCCGTCTCCTCCTCCTCCTCCTCCTCCTCCTCCTTCTCTCCGCTTCCTTCTTCTTCTCCTCCTCCGTCTTCTCCTCCTCCTTTTCCTCTACCTCCTCCTCCTTCTCCTCCTCCATTTGCTCCTGCTCCTGTTCATTCACCTCCTCCTCCTTCGCCTCTTCCCCCTGCTCTTGCTTCACCTCACCCTCCCCCGCATCCTCCTCAAGCACTCACCACGTTGACGGGAGCACCTTCCAGAAACTTGGTCACGTTGTCGGCGACGATGTCCATCAGGCGTTGCCGCGTCTCGACGCGCTTCCAGCCGATGTGCGGCGTGAGGATCACGTTCTCCAGCGCGTACAGCGGGCTCGCCTCTGGAGGCGGCTCGACCTCCTGCACGTCCAGGGCCGCCCCCGCGATGCCGTTACTTTTCAGCACTTCTGCAAGCTCTGCCTCGTTGATGAGGGGCCCACGGCCAGTGTTTATCCGCCACCGCCCCGGCGGAGGTTGGTATGTGTGTGTGTGTGTGTGTGTTTTGTTGTGTGTGCGTGTTGTGCGCGTGTGTGCGTATTGTGTGTGTTGTGTGTGTTGTGTGCGTGTGTGTGTGTTGTGAGTAGGTGTGTGTGTGCGTGTGCGTGTGCGTGTGGTGTGTGTGAGCGTGTGCGCGTATGTGCGCGTGCGTGCGCGTGTGCGCGTGTGCGTGCGCGTGTGTGTGCGTGTGCGTGTGCGTGTGCGTGTGCGTGTGCGTGTGCGTGTGCGTGTGCGTGTGCGTGTGTGTGTGCGTGTGCGTGTGCGTGTGCGTGTGCGTGTGCGTGTGCGTGTGCGTGTGCGTGTGCGTGTGCGTGTGCGTGTGCGTGTGCGTGTGCGTGTGCGTGTGTGCGCGTGTGCGCGTGTGCGCGTGTGCGCGTGTGCGCGTGTGCGCGTGTGCGCGTGTGCGCGTGTGCGCGTGTGCGCGTGTGCGCGTGTGGCGCGTGTGCGCGTGTGCGCGTGTGCGCGTGTGCGCGTGTGCGCGTGTGCGCGTGTGCGCGTGTGCGCGTGTGCGCGTGTGCGCGTGTGCGCGTGTGCGCGTGTGCGCGTGTGCGCGTGTGTGCGTGTGTGCGTGTTTGCGTGTTTGTGTGTTTGTGTGTTTGTGTGTTTGTGTGTTTGTGTGTGTGTGCGTGTGCGTGTGCGTGTGCGTGTGCGTGTGCGTGTGCGTGTCGGGCCCTTCCCATTTGTTCGCAGTTGGTTTCGCGTCTTGCTGTGGGCTGAGGGCGTTCTGGCGCGTCAGGCCCAACATGCGCTCACTGCTCGGCCAAAATGCTGCGGCGTTCACCTCCCACGCGAAAAAATTGTGCCAACCGCACCCCGTGGTAACGGGTGTGTCGTGGCACGTGCCCCCCCCTCCGTCCGCCCTCCTGCGCCCCCTGGCTTTCCCCCAACCGCGGTGGCGGATTCGAGCGGCAGCGCAACTGGATGAGGTAGGCTGTTGGCTTCATGAGCCCGAGCGTGGACTTGTTCATGATGTACTTTGTCTCGCTGTTGAAGGGGCAGTGGAGACTGACGAAGTCGCTGACTTGGAGGAGCTCCTCCAAGGGCTTGATGTCGGGACCCGTCTGACTTCTGCTGGTGAAGATGACGTTCATGCCGCACGCCCTCGCCAGCTTCGCCACCTCAGTTCCGATGCCGCCGGTGCCGCCGATGAGGCCGAGGGTTTTGCCTCCGAGCTCGAAGTGGGGCACCCTCAGCCTATCGGTGAAGTTGGTGCGGTCGCCTTTGGCGAGGCTCCGCATTTGCGGAACCATCGAACAGCTGAAATTGAGGATGAAGGTCAGCACCAACTGGGCCACCGCGTCGCTGCTGTACGCTGGGCAGTTGCAGACCGTGATGCCCTTGGCCTTTGCCGCGGCCAGGTCGACGTTGTTGAATCCCGTCCCTGCTTCCTGGATCAAGCGAACGCTCGGTGGGAACTGCTCGATCACGTGGCCAGGGACTGGTATCTCCTTGGAGATGACTATGTCGCACCCGTCCACGAGCTTCAGGATCTCCTCCGGCGACGCGTCTGGGTCGTTCTGGGAGACCTCCACGACGGCCTCCAACTTTCCCAAATCCAGGGCGCCATCCCAATTGAGGCGGCCGGAATTTATCAGGATGGCCTTCGGCATGGCGCCTGGAGCTGCCCCGCTAGGCCTCTGCGGCGCACGCTTGCGAGATCGCTGCGGCCGACGTGGTGCCCTCGTTCCGAAACCAGCAGCTGTACATCACCACCAGCCATGGCCAAGCTCCTCCTGGGCCAGCTCTTGACTGGTCTGGACCCTTCCGGCCCAGGCAGTGAAGGCCCACGAACCAGCCAGCCGCCGATCCGGGAGGGGCCTGGCCACGGCCGGTGGTGTCTCGCGCTGCGGGCTGCCGGCGGTCCACCCGGGGACCCTCAGCAGAAGCGGCTGGAGCCAGAATGGCTGCGGCCGCGTGCTGATGTCTGCGTTCCCAGTGGCCGCCTCCGCCGCGGCGCGACCTTCCGGCCCGAGAGATGCGTCCCCCTACAGGGGGATGTTGGCCGAAAAATGAAAAAAAAAAAAAAAACATAAGAAATGCCCCAAAGATGCCCAACAATACCCCCAAATGGTCCCCGGACTCTTTTCTTTATTTTTTTTTCTTGTTTTTTATTCTTTTTTTTTTTTTTAAAAAAAAAAACTATTTTTGAATATTCCCCCTGCACCCTGAGATCCGACGTTGCAAAAAAATGCAACATCGCAAAAATCACGCCCGGAGACCCGGACCTCACCTTTCCGCGCCATTTCTCGAGCCCGATCGGTCTGTGAGTCCCGGGGCCCGAAATCAGGCGAAAACGCCCGTTGCAACAAAAATTGCAACGCCAGGGTCTCAGGGTAGAGTCGGGTCGGGCGAAAGGGGGGGATAGCAAAGAGGGGGTTTGAGAATCAGCTCGCGTAGCTGATTTTCCCGGCGCCTCCCGACGCCGGAGGCGGCTATGCATCGAGGAAGGGGCTCGTCGGTGGGGCCGAAACCAGCTGAAATGGAGCAAATTTCGTACCCCCCCCCTTTCCCAATCCCCCCCTTTCGCCCGGCCCGGTAGAGGGACAAGCCCGACTTGAACTTAAGCCCAATGCCCCCGCGCGCGCGCGCCGCCAGGAGCCGCCGCGCAGAGGCCCGACGCGAGGGCCAACGCTGGCCGACCTGCACGCGGGGCCCCCGCGCGGCCGCTGCGCCCCGCGCGGGCCCCTGCGCCGCGCTCCACGCGGCACCCCACGGCCGCGGGGCCGTGGCGTGGCGCCCACGGCCGCGGGGCTGTGGCCCAGCTTCGGGGGCGCGCGCAGCTCCTCCTCCTCCTCCTCCTCCTCCTCCTCCTCCTCCTCTTCTTCTTCTTCTTCTTCTTCTTCTTATTATTATTATTACTCTTAATATTATTATTACAATTATTATTACTATTATTATTAGTATTGTTATTATTATGAATATTATTATTACGAATATTATTATTACTATTATTATTATTAGTATTATTATTATTAGTATTAGTATTATTATATTATTATTTATTATTATTATTATGATTATTGTTATTACTATTATTATTATTAGTAGTAGTAGTATTATTATTATTCGTCTTCTTCTTCTTCTTCCTCCTCCTCCTCCTTCGTCTTCTTCTTCTTCTTCTTCCTCCTCCTCCTCCTCCTCCTCCTCCTCCTCCTCCCCTCCTTTCCGCCCAATGTCGAACCTCCCCAGAATGCGGCCGATGCCGCCTCGCACGGCGGTAATACTCAGCGATTTGTCCCATGGAAGCGGGACCCGTCGCTGATCCACGCCCCTTGATCCATGCTTGCGCTCGCCTGACAGATCCTGGCCGCGGCCACTCCTTCCCCCCACCCCTGGGGGGCAGTTTCGGGGCCTCTTGGGAGCATTTTGGGGGTCTCTTGGCAGCCTCTTGGGAGCCTCTTGGGGCTTCCTGGGGGCCTGTGGGGACCTTTGGGGGCCTCCTGCTCCTGGGGTCCTCTCGGGGCCGAGGACTCGAACTGTCCGTTCGCTTCCCCCGACGTGCTCGGACGCTTCTCTTGCCCAGTTCTGCTGCCCGGCGGCCGCACAGCCCCGGTCGCCCTCTCCAGCACCGCGCGAGAGGGAGGCGCCGAGGCCGAGGCCGAGGCCGACGACGACGCTGGCACGGCGCCCCCTCGGCGCCTCGCCGCTCCCCGCCAGAGATCCGACGCTCCAATACAAAAATTGGAGCGGCGGGATTTTGACAATTTTCGGCCTCCGGGGGCCCTCGCCGGGCCTCGGGAGCGTCAAAAAACGACTCGGGGCGGACAACCAATCCTGGGGAAGTGGTCGGGACCTCTGGGGTCCACGCACCAACAAAAATTGGAGCAGCTGGATGTCTGGGCCCATGGGAGCTCTGCCCGAAGGACCTTTTTTGTTGACGTTTGCGCTGGTTTCCTCCAGCCTCCCCCAAATCCCCTCGAGTCATGACAAAAATCACGACGGGAGGTTTCTCGCTATTTTTGGCCTCCAGGGGCCCTTGCCGGGCCTCGGGACCGTAAAACATCGACCCAGAGGGAATGGGTCCGGACCTCTGGGGGTCGCGTCATGAAAAGGTCATGACGTCGGGGGTCTGGGTCCGGGCGCTTTCCACCGGCTGTGCCTCGCCAGGAGCGTTTCGGGCCTGGCGACGCGTGCCCTGGAGGCCAGACTTCCGCACGACATGAAAGATCATGTCGGGAGATCCTGGGCCGTTTTCGGCCTCCGGGGGTCCGCGCCTGGCCTCAGGACCGTCAGCAAACAGCTCGGGTTTGGACGCCCGAAATGGGTACGGAAAAAATGGGTACAATGCCCGACAACACATGCTGTCCCAAACCAACAGCGGCCGCTGTTGGGCAGGCGGCCTTCTGTCTCGAACGGACACCGGCCGCGGCGGCGCGTACAGCGAGTCCTGCTCAAAATGAACAGGAACTGCTGCTGGGCACCGTGTCAGTGCCCATCTCGTGCGTGCAGGACGGGATGAAACACCGGGTCTGGGGAGGAGGCCCGGATCTCCAGGTGCCCCCCTGACTCCGGATCCGCCCTACTTTGGAGAAATTCGTAAGTAGGGCTTGGAATTTCCGCCTTACTTGTCAAGCCCCGCTGATGGCAATTTCCGCCCCACGTTTCTGTTGCTGTTCCCGCCCTACTTCTGTGGATTTCTGCCCTATTTTATGTTGGGTGCAGAAATTTCCGCCCTACTTGTTCGGCTTCTTATCGGTGGATTTCCGATGCAATTCTACGTTGGAGCAAAAAGCCAAAGCAGGGCGGATCTGGAGTCAGGGCCCACGCCGTGAGGAAACCGCCGCGGCGCTGGAGCTCCGGGCCCGTGCTGCCGGGCGCCCCCGGGGGCGCGAGCCCCGAGCTGGGCGGCGCGCGCGCGAGCCACCGGCCGAGCGACCGAACGACATCTCGGTCGATGCCCCCGCCCACCGATCCAAAACCCCAGACCCCCGACGTCATGATTTTTCCATGACGTCGACCCCCAGAGGTCTGGACCCTTTCCCCATGACCGGCTTTGCATCCCGAGTCGTGTTTTGACGGCCCCGAGGCCCGGTGAGGGGCCCCGGAGGCCGAAAATGAAGGAAAAACATCCCGTCATGATTTTTTCATTGCTCGAGGGGGTCTGGGACCATCGGCCGACCGCTCGGCCGCCCGCCCCGCGGGAGCCGCGCGCCTCCAGGAGCGCGGGCAGGCCCTCCTGCGCAGGGCCGGCCTGCGGCGGCAGCGCCGCCGCCCGCGCAGCGCCGCCGCCGCGGCGGCGTAGAGGGCGCGTGCGCGCCCCTGCCGCGGGGGGCGCCGCGGCGGTCCGAGCGGCGGCGGGCCGAGGGCGGCGGCGGCCCCCGGAGGCGCCGGCGGCGCCCAAAGGGCGGCGCCGCGGGGCGGGCGGCGCGAGGTGCCCCCGGCAGGGCCGAGAGGAGGCCGGGACGGCAGAGGAGCGCCCCGGGGACGGCCGACGAGGCGCCCTCAAAGGCGCGCGCGCCCTAGAGGGGCGGCGGCGCCCTGAGGGTCGCGCGCGAAGGGACCGAGGAGGAGGAGGAGGAGGAGGGGGGGGGGAGGAAGGGAGGGAGGAGGGAGGGAGGGAGGGAGGAGGGAGGGAGGGAGGGAGGGAGGAGGGAGGGAGGGAGGGAGGAGGAGGAGGAGGAGGAGGATGAGGAGGAGGAGGAGGAGGCGGAGGAGGAGGAGGAGGAGGAGGAGGACACCCGGATGTAGAAGGCGGCGGCTTCGCGGCGGTGGCCCTCGCAGTCTTCCCTGTGGTCCCTTGTTGCCCCTGCCTGCGGAGGACCCCCCGCCCTTGGAGAACGCGCCGTGGCCCGCGTGTTGCATGCTGCTGCTTACGCATATCCTCGCCATCGTCGTCCTGCTCCTCGCGTTGCAACGCTTCCTCGTCCTGGGTAATATCCTTCGCATCCTCGGCTTCCGCCCCCGCCTCATCACTACCATCTGTCCTCTAATTATGACCGCGGCTTCGACGCAGGAGACAAGCAGAGCAAAGAGGACGACGAATACGCCTTGTGCGCGCCCCCACGGCAATCTCACTCAGGATCGCTCAGCAGCCCGCCCACCCGCACGCGCACTAGCCCACCGACCAAGTCGTTCTCTGGCAGTCTTTGTTTGCAAATGCATGTGTGTATAGGTATATGTGAATATATACACACCGGCAGAGAGATGAATATCTATCTATATATATATATGTATATATACCTATACGACCACCCTTCGGGTGATAAGGAGGTTCGGGGGGGGGAACCAACGTCTCACTCGATCGGTCTCACTATCGATCTCAGTATCGATCTCACTCTCGGTCTCGCTCGATCGATCTCACTCGATCGATCTCACAATCGATCTCACTCGATCTATCTCATTCGATCGATCTCACAATTGATCTCACAATCGATCTCACAATCGATCACACAATCGATCTCACATTCGGTCTCAATATCGATCTCACAATCGATATCACAATCGCTCTCACAATCAACGTCATCATCATCATCATCATCATCATCATCATCATCAACATCATCAACATCAACATCATCAACAACATCGTCATCATCATGAGAGCACCGTCAGCATCATCATCATAAACATCATCATCAACGTCAGCATCATCATCGGGACAACATCATCACCATCACCATCATCATCTCATCATCAACATCAACATCATCATCATCATCATCATCATCATCGGGACACAGTCGTCGTCATCATCATCAGCATCATCATAATCATCATCATAATCGGGACACCATCATGATCACCATCGTTCTCATCATCAACACTATCATCAACATCGTCATCATCCTCGGGACACCATCATCATCATGATCATCGCATCAGCATCATCGACATCATCATCATCATCATCATCAACAACATCATCATCATTGGGGCACCA